AAAATCACATCTTTTCTTTCTCCACAGACGAAATGCTTCAAATATGGGGAATAATCATGACTATGTTGCCCTTCACAATATCCCCAGACACGGGCACAATTTGCTCAAGAATAAGCACTGAATATACTGAATGAGCAAATACATGAATATTGAACTAACAAAATAGTAGCATTTATATTTAGAATTTCCCTTCACTCGTTTCAACTTTTAAATTTCAGATTTAGGAATGCACTGATTCTATGGGAAATGCCGCCAAAACCACATTATCATCACTCATAATTGTCACAGGGAGGAAAGCACATGAAAAGACAGCTCTATAGGCATGAGTAAAGAAAAATTAGAAGAAGACAACATGCAAACAAATGGGCTGAAATAGTGAGAATTACCTAATATCCACGCCCCCCTCCATGTTAAATAAAACAGTAGAGTAAAAAGGTCAGAAGAAGAGAATGCCAATTGTGATTTACCACTCAGTGGTTAAATAACCTCAGAGTTACAATTTCTTCACCTTTAAAGGTGGAGGGGGTGACACTAACTACAAAAATTATGAGGACTTAACATAAGAAAGTACTGAAAAGTTCTCTGTGCACCAAAGAACACCATTCATTCACTCATCCATTGAGAAACACTGATACTATTCCAGAAACTGGGTATGCAGCAGTGAACAAAACAAAACATATACTCTAATGTGGGAGTAGACAGACAATAAGAAAATAAGTAAGAAACTGAAACAAATGTATCAAAGAAAGATCAAAGAAGACAAGAGAATTAAAGAATGGGAGACAGAAGCTTTTTGCTGTTTTATACAGAGCTGTTAAAAAATGCCTCACTGAAAAGGTGACTTCTGAGCAGAATCCTAAAATCAAACTGAAAGCCGTTAAAGGGTATCTCAAAGAACATTCTGGGCAAAAGTATTCAGCAAGGACAAAGGCTGTTGACAGGAATGTTCCTGACACCTTTAAAAACAGTAAGAAGACTAATGAGAACAATGGGGAGGGTTAAGTAGGAGACAAAGTCAGAGAGTTGGGGTAGGCATCTGGGGGGTCCACCAGATCTTGGAGGGTTTTGTAGCCAATTTAAGAAGACTCTGGCCTTTACTCTAAGATGTACAGCTACTAGAGGGTTAGCACGTTAACATGCAGTAGAGAGGTAATGGCAAGTAAGAGACTACTGCAATTATATGGAAAAGATAACTTACATCAAGGTAGCAGCAGCTGAGGTGATAAAAGAAAACACTTTCTGTACATTTACTTAGTAGGTGACAAAGTCTATTACTGAATCAAGTCTAGAGTGTGACATTATAAAGAAGAGTAAAGATGAATCCAATTCTTTAGCCTAAGTAAAAGGAGGACAGAGTTGCATTAACTTGGATGAGGGAGACTGTATAGCGCAAACGTGGGTGCAGAGAAAAGATCAGTTTTGACCATCTTAGTGTAAGATGCCTATTAGATGTCTAAATGGAGATTTCCATGGGCTTAAGGTGGGGAGAAGACTTAACAAGGGAAGTACCAGTAGATACAGTCATTGGCTTTATAAAGAAGGAGGAAAACTGAAAGCAAGTCCTACTTAGCAAACAAGTAGAATCTGAAAGGTGACAAAAGGACACTCTAAACAAGAAAGGCTAAGTGTATTTGACAAGATAAAAGAGTGGTCATTTGATCATAAAAACAGACAAACATCACTTCCTTGGAGAAGCAAAGCTTTTCCTGAAAATGACTACTAAAAGATACTAATCTTGAGATTCTATGGAGAAACCACTGAGTAATAGAATAAATTTGCCACAATCCTACAAAAAAATATATAATAGGGGCTTTCTTATAGCTTTTATTCCATAGTTCTTCTAGGAAAACTGAGGGCATAAAAATAAATTACCCATAAAGGCTCAAGTAATAGTGTCTACCTACTGTCTAGGTCAAAATTGCCTTCTTAGCACTGACAGCTAGCGTTTAACTGTTCAAACCAAGAACATCATCCCATATATCTTAGTCTATTTATTTAAAGAAGAAAAGAGCTCTACTAAATGTAAAGAAGTATAAGAAGAAATCATGTAAAATATCAAATATAGTGGATACGGCACTCCAATACTGTGAGCAAAATGTAACATTTTATAATGTACATTCGGTAATTCTTGTAACAGCTACTAAAAACATACGCTATTTCACTGACTAAAAAAGACTGTTAAAACACCAGTTACAGACAGAAGATGCTATATTTTGTTAGGACACAGGAATGGAGGACATCAATTCTCTAAGTCATAGTGCATAAGATATCAAAATTTTAAATTAAAACTTAAAGGACTCTATACCTTTACCACTGAAGTTTTAAAGACCTTCTAAGCACTCACTTCCTGGCATTCACATCAATATGCAAAAACTTTCTGCCTAAAAATTAGACTTAAAAAAAAAGGAATTGCAGTGTACTTCAACCACTGACTTCCCACCCCATAATCACGAAGATCCACATTTAGAATGCACTGTTATTGTAAAGGGGTTAAGCAAGCAAGGAAGTACATTTTTAACAGATATAATTCTGCAAGGTTACTAAAATTTAAATAAGGCTGAATAGTGCAAGAAACTGCCCAAAGAATTTATAATGATGAAAGGAATAAACTACATCCAAATTAAAATTTGATTATCTTTTGCTAGTGGTCCCACATGGACTTTAAATTTTATACATATTTTAAGGGTTCAGTTTACATGGCATCATAAAGATAATTTCACTTTAAGTTTTAATTCACACTAAATTTCAATGTTAAAAATAAATACCAAGAGATCCAATACCTTTGAAACATAAGGAATACCAATGTGCACCAGAAGTAATTCGGGGGGCAGTCTGCAAAGTGGTAAGTATACCATTAAATTTAAGTCAGATGTTTTCAGCCTTATGCTTGTTCTCTAATGGTTTTTATGCATCCTAAAAATGTAAGTTCTGACTTCAGAGTTGATACCAAGTATCCTGAAACAGTAAGTGTAACATAAAACAGTAAATGACTCCTCTCTTTATTCCCATTTCAATGACTGTCTATCTTGCAATGGAATCAGTACCTGCATAGAAGATCGATTTCACTGTCCCAACCCCACCCGACTCTAACGCCCAGTAATAAAAACTGCTCTAATTAACTACTGTAGAATCCAGCCGTCCCACTTCTGGGTATGCACCCAAAGTGAACGCAGGTCTGCATACCCACATTTAGCAGCATTATTCACAACTGCCAGGAGGAGGAAGCAACTCAAAAATCCATCAATGAATAGATAAACAAAATGTGGTACATACATACAATGAAATCTTGCTGAATCTAAACAAAGGAAATTCTGCTACAACATGAATGAACCTTGAGGACATTTTGCTAAGTGAAATACGTTAATCACAAAATGACAAAAATTGTATAATTTCATTTATATGAGGTATCTAAGGTAGTCAAATTCATAGAAACAGAAGGTAGAATAGTGGTTCCAGGGGTGGGGGGGCTTGAGGGGGTCAACAATGAGGATTGTTTAATGGATATCAAGTTTTGATTTTGCAAAATAAAAAAGTTCTGGAGAGCTACTGCATGACAATATGAATATACGTAACACTGACAAACTTTATACTAAAATATGGTTACGGTGATAAATTTTACGTGATGTGTTTTTTATAATAACAGTTTTCCCCAAAAACTCTATATAGAGGAAAACCAGGGAAAGAACAATCAGGGAGAAAAGCAGGCGTTTGGAAGATAACATCCAAGCTAAGATAGTTGCAGTCAGAGTTGCAAATTACATTGTGAATGTTTCTTGGAACACTTCTGAGAAGATGAAAATCTGCAAAGTAAGTTTAAAAAAAAAGTGGAAAACAATATATTCTGTTCAGAAGTATCTTCCACTTCTTATAGTCAGGTCATTTCACTCTAGATTCAAAAATACTTCAGTTCATATTTGTCTTACCCCCCAGAGGCCTGGAACGTCAGTTCTGGACTACAGAGAGGGTTCCATACCCTCATTAAAACCAACACAGCACTTAGCACATAAAGGCTTAAGAAATAGTCACTTGATTACAAACTGGCCTTGACTTCTTCCTAAGTTCATATATTTTATTCTAAAAATTAGAGCAGAGTTAAAACTACTCATCAAATTAATTTATACCTTCATTCTGTTATTTATTCATTATTACTAAAACTGATTCCTAAAACCCTTACCTGAAAATTTGGTATTATTTATAGTTAACCAGCAGATTTTCCTCAATATCTCATTCATTATTCCTAGCTCTCATTACTAGATTTACTATATACTGTTTACTTCCCAAAACAAACTAACAGTATTTCATGACTATGTAAGGTAACACAGTTCTCCCCATCACTTTCTAAAATTCCGAAGTTTCTTCTACATCATTTCAGAAATCGAATTCACTCCATTTTTCACACTCAGCACAATCTATTGAGATCACCAAAGATTATAATATTGCTTTTCAAGCATTAATTCTTTAATGAATGAATATAAAAGCAAATAAAAATTTTTCAATCATACTTTCGAATGGTGAGCAAGTTTAAGGTTAATTTATAGATGAGTCTCTAAATGACAGAGATCACAAAATAATTAAATGACATTCAGGCTGCACACGGAAAACAAAATCAATTATGTGAATATGGAAAACAACCAAAGGAGGATTTTTTTAAACTGCTAATATTTCTGAAGTAGTCAGGCCATTTGCTAACTCTGACCAAAACTGTATTTAAGCACATCTTAAGTGGGAAGAAATCAGATAACGTAAGTAGTATCATTTGATAATCAGGGTATTAGAGGTTTATTTTGGGTTGAGGTAGACATCAGAAGGAAAAATATTAAATTATTTGTCTAGATATGTAGGCAAATAGTTCATTTTAAGTCCCTGTCATAAGCTCCCTTTTTTAAGTAGACAAACTAAAGTTCATAGTTCAAAAGAACAGAGTTTTAAAAGACAAAAAAATAAACACTAGGTCATACATAAGTTTATTTAAATCCATTCAAATTTTTTAAATAGTCTACCTGAATCCTCCTGGGCTTCGTGAGTTTCACCATCATATGTTACCTCTAATTCTTTCACAAAATTTGAGGGAAACAGTCCCAACTTGTTGTTCAGGGTTCCACTCCACCAGCCTTCTTCTACCTGAAAGAGTTCACAACTCAAAACTCAGAAACAGAAGGCGGGAAGTATGAAGAGCTCAGAACTTTCAGTAGACTTAAGGGAGCACCAGAGGATAGCGCATTCTTCAAACCAGTGTGATGAAAACATGTAGAGCAAAGTGGAACAGGCACAACAAAGAGGACATCATCAGACCAGTAACTCCACCCGGGAATCCCGAACTGGCAGCCACTGGGCATCAGGGCAAATAACTGTAATAATTCCTATTAGTTAGGAACTCTTAAAAGGCGGTAGTATGGTGGTAAAGAACACCGACTCAAAAACAAACTGTGTGGGTTCAGATCCTGGCGCTCTGCATGCCAGGCATACGAACTTGTGCAAACACGGCTGAGACAAGGTCACCTATCCCACATGCTCATCTGCAATGTCATCTTGACGCTCCTCCCACCAAGAAGTGACGGTCTTTGTCCACACCCCCTTCAATCTTGCTGGCTTAGGACTTTCTTGTAACCAACAGAATGTGGTGAAAGTGACATTATCAGTTGCAAGGCTGGATTATAAAAGGCTATCTCTGTGTTCACCGAAACGCTTACACTTAGAGCCCTGACCTGCCCTGTCCTACTATCCCACTCAGCAAGAAAGCCAAGCCAACCGGGGGCGGTACACGATGGCTGTCCACAGGCGGTCCTCGTCTTCGGGGCTTCCAGGCACTAGTCGTATCAGGGAAGGAGCCATCCTATGACTCTATCGGTACCCAATTTTGAATCTTTCCAGCTGAGGCCCCCAGACAGCACAGAACAGACAAAAACTATATCCCTCTGTGCCCTGTCTGAATTCTGGACCCACACAACTAACAAACCTAACAGTTGTCCTTTGCCAGAGTTTGGAATGGCATGTCATGTAGCAACAGAAGATAAACCAATTACTTATCTTCTCTGATTCAATCTCTTATTTGTAAAATGGGGATAAAAATTCATATCTTCTTTGGTTGTTTAGAAATTTAAAGGAAATAATAAATGTGAACCACTTAGAATGGTGCTTCGGACATAATACTGGATTGATAAACACTATTATTACCACCACTTGGTAGAAATAAAACAGAATTGCCTTTTGTATAAACATACTGGAATTTAACACAAACCTAAGTGACAAATTACATGTTATGATACAAAATCATTCCCATGGCAATACATGATATCAAAACATATACTTTGAAAATGGCATCTTCAGCTGCCAAAAAAACTTCAGTATTCCTTTAATGGTAAAAGCAGAGATACGAAAAGTTATTTTTTTAAATACTTTTAAATCTCACTCTAAGATGCTAAAATGAGGGCAAGTGCTTTTGAATGTGAATGTAATAATTCAAACAAGACAAAGCTTTTTTAAATATTCTGCTTCTGTATACCTTTGCTATATGCAAAAGGTAAAAATCCTGCTTTACGACATTGTGCCAAAAGTGAATTAAAGATCAAAGAAAAGTTTATATTCTTAGCTACTTGGATTACATTCATTTTAGCTTTAAAAAGGTCTTTTTATCTTCCTAAAGTCAACAGATACAAATATAGCACACAAATAGCATCGCAAAGATGATTAAAGCTTTATTTCTACAGATAAGACAGTCTTACTTCAAGTCATTAAAGACCCATTTTAAAGTCTGTTACCTTAAACTTTGTATAAAAAAATGATAAAACTGGCAAAATAAACTGAACAAATTAATATTCTTACAAGGCATTTTTCTAACACCCAGAGCACCAATTGCAATCGCTGCTTCATCTCTAAAACGCGTCTTCCTCACCTCTTCACTAACGTCAATAACATCTCCCACTTTCAGCTCCAGTTCATCGTCATTTTGTGGGATGTATTCAAAGAGAACTCTACACTGACGCTTCTTGGTCTCTAAAGGAAGTAACACGAAAAAATTAAGTTAAGAAAGGTCGTTAAAACAAACAGTAGCACCTTTATTTACACACTACGTTTACTGTCACACCATTTGTATATATGAATGAAAGCAGAACATGTAAGCGTTCTAAACAGCTAAATCACAATCTGTTCCGGTTGGCTTTCCACCTTGTTCCCTACGCTACAATCTCTTCATCCTAAAAGAAATTCAAATCCATTACAAATAGGTAGGCTCCCAGCAATGAAATCTACTTATACATCTGATCCCACTAATTATACAAAAGTAAAGTATCTACTGCCAGTTTTGAGACTAGAGACAGTCAATAAAGGACACTGTTGGCACAACAAAGTTATCAAAGACGCACATTTACTACAGACAATCACTCCAAGCCAGTGATTTTCAGACTACTTCCTGATCAAAGTCTAGAAATACTTTATTTTTTATTATAGTCAGTTACAACGGGTCAATTTCTGGTGTACAGAATAATGTTTCAGTCATACAAATACATACATATATTCCTTTTCATTATAGGTCACTACAAGGTATTAAATATAGTTCCCTGTGCTATACAGAACAAATTTTTTAATCTTTTTCTATATAATAGTAGTTACTATTTGCAAATCTTGAACTCTCAATTTATCCCTTTCCATTCTAAGAATACTTCAAATACACTAATTTAAAAGTATCTGTGTTTTAAAAAGATAAAATGCACAATGTAAAATGTATTTTATCTTCTTTAATAGATCTATTTTCTGACATAAAAATCAAACTCAGGTGAAGATAAAAATAATATTACTTTAACTTTACAAATAAGTTTCATTTATTCAGACAAGTGATGGCTATTTAGGCCTTTAAAAAATGTAACTTGATTCTTTTTCATGAGTATCAGTATCTTTTTAAATGACTTAAAGTGAATAAAGAGTATTAATTAGCACATTCCTGCCTCCAAAAAATATATATCAATTAACTTTGAACAACCTAGGGTATCTTTCAGTGAAAAGCTTTCTTATTGTTGCTTTTCCTCTCACACTAGCATAATTCTCCAGTGTTTTTTTCCAAAACAGTGTGCAAAATTATTTGCAAAGCAATTTTTCATTTTTCAAAGGAAACAGCCACATTGGATAACACCATCTAAACAGCCCCTATTATTGCCACAAAATGTGAGTCATTTACTTAAAAAAGAAAAAAATTTCTTATGAGTCCATATTTTTACATAATTCACTCATAAGCTAAGGTCACTGCTTTATTGAACTTACCTATTAATTGGCAACTCAAAGGAATTTAGAGATTTGTTCACATTTCAAATGGCATACACAATGTCTACCATACACACTGGTCAAATAAATATAGATTTTCTACAAGGTATCAGAACCTTTGCTAAACACAAAAGAAAATAAAATATATGTAAGAGTAGAGTTGTCAATAAAAGGATGCATGAAATTAAGTCCATTTTTAAAAATAACTGTAACTAGTATTTTCTTAAGATAAGAAACCTCCATATAGCTTTTCAGATCTACAAAGAGATTAATGATAAGAAAGTTTTTTTAAATCAGGATTGTATACATAAAGCTATTAACAAGGAAGAGGATAAAGAAGGTACACCAAAAGCAGGGACATTATTTTTTTATCTTTTATGTACCAACACTACTCTAAGTCCTTCACAAACAAAAGATCATAGAAACTTGCTACAAACATCTCCCACACAAAAGATCATAGAAACTGGTTATACGTACCATCTCACCAATGAGGAACAGGAACTCAGCAGTAATTGTCCAAGACCATAGAGCGAGAGAGAGAGGCAAAACTCGAAGTGTGCCCACTTCTGCCTCCTACTCTCTGCCCTTCCAGTTCACCAGGCTGCCTCCTTTACAGATACACACAGTTCATGCACTCTAGCCAGGCTGGACCCATAATCCCTGAAAATACCACGAACTGACTTGCTTATCTCTGTGGCTCTTCCAAAGGTTGCAATTTGAACTGGAATGCCATACTCCCCAGTCTTCACGTGACTGACAACGTCCTACCTGAAGAAGAGCTTAGATACACCTTGTTTGATGACTCTGGTATAGAAGTGCCCTTTCATTTGAACCTTTGAATCTTCATTTGAACTGCACATTATATTTGTCTCTAATACGGTTCTTAATAGTATAAAACTCTGTAATAATAACAAACATTTATCAGGCACTTCTTATAATATTTACTTAGCATGTTAATACCTCTAAAACGCCTTGAGGTAATTATTACTATCATCCCAGTGGTGTTACAGTAACTTGATGCTTTCCTCTGTGAGTTCTGAATCATTACCCACATCCAGCTTTAAATGGCAGATTTGATTGCCCACACTAACACCGTTCTATGACCTTCATACCCATGGGTATTACGATACTCAGCATATAAATGTTGAATAATTTCAGAAGAACCATTTAGAAATGTTTTATATTTTTAGAAAAGCAAAATCAAACTGTGGGAAACTTCACACTCAGTGAAGTAACTTTCCTTATTGTTTCTACTAAAATAGAAAATTCTGTATTTTCAATTGTAGTTTGGTCATGAAGAATGGCAAGTATGTGATAGTTCTGAAAAATAGATCTAAATATTCAGATCAAACAAAGCTCTTAAATTATGGAACTATTTCTCACTGATGATCATTGTTTTAATTTTTCTATCAAATGCTAAAGTGAAGAACATACCACACTCAGAAGTTGGGAGGCTAAATGTTAAAATTTCAGAGACAGTAACAATAAGATTCTTGACCCATTTTTGGTTCTATTTGGTTCTAGAAAGTCTATCTTCAGGTTTTAAAGTCTATCTTCAGCATTTAAATTTTTCTAATATAAAAAAATTTTTTTATATCTTTTTCTCCAGTAAACAAAGATCATCATTAAAAGTTAAGAAACATTGAGACTGATCCATTTGCTACATGGTTGAATCATCTTTAAAAGTTTTTTTCTTATTCTCAGCAATAAAAAAAATCATATTACTTAGGCCATTAAGTGAAAAATTCAAGCTATGCAAGAGTCTAGCTAGTTGAGATAGAGCATTTAAGACAATCAAAATCTTTCAAAATATCACCACCAACATGAAGAAAAAAACTCATGTGATTAGGGATGAAGTATCATGTCTTCAATATACTTTCAAATGACTTAAGTTTTTAAAATGTATTTATATATGTAGAGAGATAAAGCCAATATAACAAAATGCTAACAGCAAACTTAGGTGAAGAATATACTGTGTTCAGTGTACAATTACTACTTCAACTTTTCTGTAAGATTTTAAATTTTTCAAAATAAAATACAAAGTCAGAACACCCTACTCCATTCATTCCGTCGCTGGGAAGGACTCATTTGAGTGAATCTCTTTCCCCTTGTAAGTCAAGAGTATTTTAATGTCACAGAAGAGAGCCTGAATTACTAACATGCCTATTTTTCAGAAATTTATTCTGTGAAGGTGTAAGGTCAGTGATCATATTTTGATGATACTCAGAATTTTCATTATTTTCTTCAGCACTGACTCAAAATCAGAAGCATGCTACCAATTATTTTTTGAGAATGAAACACTGCGTAGACTGGCATTCTAATCAATTAATTTTTCATGCATCATCATTTCTTTCTGTACAATTACACTAGTGATCCATCAGTATCAATCTCAATGCATCTTTCACATTCAAAATAACTATTACCTAGATGAAAAATCATTTCTGTAGCATGAGTTCCCACTCACAAGGAATACAGGGTTACAAGCTCTGATGTCTTGCTCACACACGGCATGAGTAGATTCATACCTGGCATCCATTTTTTCCAAATATAAAGTAGAATATCTACTAATATTCCACACTGAATGTTATATAGAACTGTGATGCTGAAAGATGTCAGTTTTTTACTTTGAAAGTAAAACACTCTACACCATTATCTTTGGGCCTGATTTTATAAGGGTCTCAGCAGTAATGTCATTTGTGCCTGTTTTTGCTATGAGAAGTAAAAATTGGTTTCGTTTCTGTAACTTTAGCAACTTATTGCAATCAACTCTGCCCTGGAAAATTGTCTGTGCTCACTCTAGAAAATACGAGTTTGTCTCACGAAAAAAGGTATTATGCTTAACTTACAAGCAATAGCAAAAGTTTCGATGGTTTTATGACTAGACCTCACAAAAAAGCCAACGCTTTTTGGCTTTGGAGACCAGAGGAAAACAGCTAACAACTCCAGTCCCCAGATATTTATCTTACTATCTATGTGAACTTCTCCTTTTTAGTTGTGTAGACAAAATTCAACACACAGGCAGATTCACTCGTCTTGGCACCGAAAGATTTCAACTGAACCTTCACACTGCAGTGTTTATCACTGTCAACCTTTTAATGGTTTGGCTTTTTTTTTAATATGAATGGCATTGGTTAAAAGTGTATATACTACTATTTTAAATTACAATGAAACATTTTTGAAGAACTGATCTATTTCATAAATTAAGGATACACTACAAACTAACAGTAGCCAAAAAAACTGATTAAAAAAAAGGTAGCTGCTTTTCCTGGAAAAGTCAGCTGAAAGCAAAAACAAACAACCCGCATCCTGTTTTAAATGTTAACACCAAATGACCAATTTAGTCTTCGCAGCACTTGTACTTAAAAACAAGTTATGGAGGATCCTTAGGAAAAAGCTTAAGCCTCCCGGGCCCCGTCCCAACCATATAATCGTTTTTCCTTCTTACAAGAAAAGTTATGACCAGCGTTCCTGAGGAAGGTAAAATTAAGCGTGTCCTTCCCTATTAGAGACAGAATAACCTTGAAGCCCTTTGTCTAGCCCCTACTTAAGAAGAGATTTATACTCTGAGAGCTCAGTAAAGCTAAAGAAAGTGGCAAATAAATTTTACAATAGACAGAGGTCATAAATAACCCTTTCGTGGGCCTAAAACTTCTCATTGTGCACAGAAATTCTATATAGAGGTTCATCTGTAGGATGTGGAATTGACTCTGTTATCTAACCCCAATCTCCAGAGTTCAGAGTCCAGGGCAATTACAACTACTGAACACTCCCACCTTCAGGCAGTAGTCTCAAAGCAGGATGGGTAATACCTAAATATTGTTTGCACACTGCATTCACTGGGAAACAAAGAACACACAGAACCCTTTAACTGGTCTGTTTCATTTTTATGAAAATCTGTTTTCATTTTATGAAAATAATCAAAAGGTGATATAACCTAGAAAGCAGAGGTTTCCCCAGACTTCACAGACAGTAGCATAGAAAGTAACAGGTTGAGATTATTAAAGTCATTATAAGTCTTACATTTGTGAAATGTATTTAAACAAAATTTGTAAACTTTCTTTATTGTAAACTACGTGGTATACAAGGGATTTTAGTACCAACATCAAACACAAGGGACCACTAACATCAAAGACACTGATCTAAGATAAATGTGGTTAAATACTCATTCATAACTTATTACATCAAACTGAACATAGTAGTCAGTATTCAATCTCTCAAGGGGCTCCAGGTTTACTATATTAAAACACTACCAAGGAACTATATTCAATATCTTGTAGTAACCTACAATGAAAAAGAATATGAAAAGGAATATATGTATGTACATGTATGACTGAAACTTTACGCTGTACACCAGAAATTGACACACTGTAAACTGACTATGCTTCAATTAAAAAACAAAACAAAACACTATCTGCTTCCATAAATGTTATACCTCTTTGTACATGTTTAATACCTTCTTTAGTAATAGTCTTTCTAAGACTGTAAGTTTATAAGAACAGCAATTTACCAGTCTTTTCTTTTTTTTGTCTTTTTACCACTTTCTCATCAGCAGCAAAATACAATTTAAAAGAGTTTAAATGATCCAAGGTCGTAAGACAGCCTCAAACTTAAGTCTGATTTCAAGTGTGGTGCTCTTCCTCTATCCTGAACTGTTCTCTTAACCTATTTACAGAGTATCACACAGATAAAGGATACTCCACTGGGCCAACCACCTGGGAAAACTGAATGTACATGTTCAGATGACTAACCACTAAAAAAAACTGGGGAGTGGGACACATAATTATATTTATTTATTTATTTTAATGGAGGTGCTGGGGATTGAACCCAGGACCTCGTGCATGATAAGCACATGCTCTACCCTCCCCGCTAAAAAAAAAAAAACTTACCAAATGCTTGCATCTATACTGCTTAAGCATGAGTGGATCTTTCGGCATTTCATTAAATAAATGGAATTAAAGAAAATTTAAGGCAAGGTGTTAACTATTCAGCAGAGCCTGTAAGACTAGTAAGAAAACAAAGCCTTTTATCTTAAACTCTGATTCCTACAGATAGGAAGTTATAGGGAGTAAGACAGCAAGTACGAAGTTATAAAGCATCCTTCTATTTTGATTTGAATAAATAGGAAAAAAAATTATTTACATACTCTTCTTAATGTTTTTGGTTTGTGGATGTGGTTGAATTCCTCCAGCGAGAAGTCCATAGGTGCTTATTCGTTGTACAAGACTTGCTACATTCCCATGCCTTTCCCGTTTGATGGGCAAACTGTCATCCTTGGATTCTGTCTCTCTCTTAACCTCCTACAAAAGGAGAAATCAGTAAGCAGGTAAATTAAGTTGTATATTATTAAATTAAACTCTCAAATGTAAAATACCAAAACCAGGTACAGTGATCATTACATAAAACATAGTATCAACAGTTTTCAACCTTTTTCTCTGCCCACACATATTTAAAGAATACAACACACTTCGGTAACAGTGACTCACTATGAGTTTAAGTCTTATCAGAACGAGAGATGAAAGTAAAGAAAGTGACACTGAATCCATCTCCACCCCAACATACAAAAAACACATAAACACACACGCACATAAGCAAACAGTAAGACAAACGATAATTCTAAGTCAGGGGTGGGCAAACTTTTTCCATAATGGGCCAGACAGTAAAATGTTCTAGGATTTGTAGGCCATACAATCTCTGTGCCAACAATGAACTCTGCCACCCGCAGAGCAAAAGCAGTCATATACATAAATGAATGAGTGTAGCTATTATCCAAGAAAATTTTATTTATGGACACTTAAAATTTCAAATTTCACATCATTTTCATGTCATTAAATATTGTTCTTTATTTGATTTTTTTCCAACTACTTATAAAATTCTTAACTAGCATTTGTGGGCACTACAAAAACAGGTGGTGTTTCGATTTGGCCCATGGGCTGTTTGATTAAACCCTTTTCTCAGTCATAGGTCTAACAGGAGATAAGTGAACCTTCATGAAAAGTATGAGGTTTTATTGGAGGACATAAAGGAAGACAAATGAAAGGGGAGTTAGGCCATGTTCAGTGATAGAAAACTTATTATCATAAATATAGCATTTTCCCCTAAAATTGATGCAATGCAACTGAATAAATATATCACAGATTTGGGCAAGCAATTAAATAAACTGGTTCTGAATCTGTACAGAAGAACAAAAGGCCAAAACAGTAAAAACACTTTAGTGAAAAGAAAGTGAAGGGACTTTTTAAAAACTAAGATATAAAGAAAAATTATATGATACTATAATCAGTGTGTACTGGCATAAAAACAGATATATTGATAAGTGAAACAAAATAGAGGGTCCATAACAGTCAAACCTGATTTATAACAGGCAAAAAGTGAGGGGGAAAAACTGAATCTTACATGATGCTTGTAAAACTAGCATTTCGCATTTAGGGAGTAGGGAATAAAATTGGATTCCTACTTCACACATTTGATATTAAAATTAACAGCTTCTTTTCATCAAAAGCAACCATGTAAAAGAAGCCAATCACTAACCAGAGATATTTTTCACACAGAAAGTTAACAAGGAATCTGCATCTCTGGGTGTTTACGTCTAACGCAATGTTAACTACGCACTATCTAACCGGTAGGATTTCAGATTATTTTGACTTCTTTGTACTGTTCAGAGTGTTTAATGCTTGCTTTTTTTGTTTAACAATGTGTGTCATTTTGCAAACAGAAAAAAAGTTTTGCATTTTGGGAAGACTGTTACGTTGGTGAAAACTTATTAAAATACAGAACATACAAGACACAAAATCTTTCACAATGTAGACTGCTTCATTTCTACTGGTAATGTACCGCAGGAAAAATATTTCAATTTGCTATTAATAACACATGACGTAATATATGAACACCTCAGTTTTCAGACTGCACTAAATATTTCTCAAACTAATAAAAATACGAAAATCTATGTAAAAACTGGTAGTTACAACCTCAACATGCCAGAGAGCACTCATTTCGGATTCTCCTGAACATCCCATGTGCCACCTACATTTTAAGAAGATAGAATAGAAGTCTTATCTCTTACTGTTGCTTTCTGTGGTGCAGGAGACCAAGAACTTGGCTTGACATTCAAATCTTGTTCCTCTAGGAAAGTAACTCCAATTTGACCAAATGTGATTAAGAGTACAGGTTCAGGAACCAGGTCAAATGAGTACAAAGCCTGGTTCTATCCTGTTCGCTAGCTAAATAACTAGATATTTGTGTTATCTTTTAGCAAAAATTAACCACACGAATAAGTACAACATATTAATTAAAGACAAGGACAGTGTCTCTCATTTCCAAAAAAAAAAAATTACAATATATTGCTCAAGATCTAGAAACATTTTCCAGACCTTCAATATTTGCTGAGACATAATCAAATCCATGAATATTGGACATCATTAATCTTCTGAGAACAAAAAATGCACAAAAAAAGAGGGGGAAGCACAATAAAAATATATACAGTCTACACTGAATAGGGAAAACTCAGGTTTACAGCCTTCCAAACACATAATGCCAACTAAAATGTTATCAAAAGTTTCAAGTGACTTCAGGCTCTAAGCAAAGTTATAAATAAGGTTAACTCTGAGTTAGGCTCCACCTCTTCCACCTGTGAAATCTCCTGCTACAATCTGCTACCACCAGATACACACACAGGCGCGCGCGCACACACACACACACACACACACACTCTCTCTCTCTCTCTCTCTCTCTCTCACACACACACACACACACACACACACACACACCAATCTACTCTGTTCCCTAATTCCTGGACACACGGTACCCCCAAATCACTCTTTCGTGACCATTCATCTTTAATAGCAATTTTACTGAGTACCTATAAATCTTAGTAAGGCTTCCAGTCTGCCCTTCCTTTTACCTAATCAGCCAGTAAATCAAATACAAATTAACATTGTAACATCTCTTTCTACAAACTTTGCTTCCTCTCCTTACTCTGAAAATGACTCCAGGAGAGCCAGTAAAAAGAGGAGTCCTCACTTGAGAGTGCCACGTGTTGACAAAGCAAACTCAGAAAAGCTGAATCTCACTCTACAAAAGAGGGAAGCCTCCTACACAGCAGGTAATGTCAACACCAAACTGGCCAAGAAAAAAAAATACAATGTGGATAATTTCCATATAGATAAGAATGTACTATACATTCTTTTAGTTTCACAGATAAGTAATAGGAAGCAGCAAATTAAAGGAAAAGATGAAAAATATAAGCACATGAGGGGTAGCCTTAAAAAGGCTGGCTGGAGACGGTATAGTTATATTCTTTATCTATTAAAGTAATCAAAGATACTTCATTCTGATTACACTAACCAAAAACAGGTAACTTAAAAGGTTAATCAACAAAATTCACAAACCACTCCTTCATGTTGAAATATTATCTATTTTACAACTTGGTTATCTGAGCATGACCAGTAAAGGACCATGACCTGAAAACAGAAAGCAATTAACTTCTCTACATCACAGAATCAAAGGTCGCAAAGAGTAAGAAAAACCAGATTAGAAGGCAAGTGTTTCTTTTTACTTCTCAAGAAGAGAGACAGGTATCTTAAATCACCAAATCCCTAAACAGAGTTACAGTTTTGCTTATGCTAATTAAAATCTGAGGAATACAGTAGTCTGTCCTTATCCACAGGGTCCCAAGACCTCCAGGGGATGCCTGGAACCATGGATTGCACTGAGCCTTACATACACTGTGTTTTTTCCTAAATATATATACCTATGATAAAGTTTAATTTATAAATTAGACACAGTACGAGATTAACAACAACTGATAATAGAAAATGATAACAATTTACTCTGGTAAAAGTTATGTGCATGTGGTCTCTCTCAAAATCTCTTACAAATACAGTGCCTCTTCCAACTTAACAAGCACTTATCACACACACCGTGGCCATAACTGTTCCTGTTTGAGGTGAGACAACAAAACTGATATGAATATTTTTCTTCTTCACAATTTCACAGAAGATTCATTCTTACCACGCACAGATCTTTGCAACCTCATATGATTATTTTTTTCTTTCCTTATTAAGTCAAGAGCTTTCATCTTTTCACTTAAAGGACACACTTTACAGCTTTTGCTGGTATATCTGTATTGTCAGTGTCACAACTCTTGAGCTCAGCAGCCGTTATTAAGTAAAATAAGGGTTACTTCAACACAGGCGCTGTGATACCGTGACAGTTGATCTGATAACCAAGACAGCTACTAGGTGACTAACAGGTGGGACAGGCTGGACAGAGGGATGATTCACGTCCCAGATGTAATGGCATGCGATTTAAGACTTACGAATTGTTTACTTCTGGAATTTTCTGTTTAATATTTTCAGACTACAGCTTCCTAGCTGAAGCTTCAGAAAGCAAAACCATGGATAAGAGGGGGACTAGACTTAATTATTTTTAAGTTAACATTCAGGATTTCCAACAGCATCATATAAAACGAGTACCTCCACCTTTACAGAAGCATAAATCAGACAATATGGAAGGGTGATATTACTAAAGAATAAGAAAAATAAGCAGGATTAAATGTTTATTTGATGTACATCCACTGTTTGACCTTTGACTGAGTCAAAATTAAACCCATACTTAAAAGAATAGGTTTCCAACGTAACAAAGTGGTTTACCTCATTCCTAAAGTTTTCATTTTGTTTCCTGGAATATAAGTGACAGCATATAAGGTATGATCCAGAAAGAACTACCTTAAGGCATTAGATTTTCTTTTTCTTTTTTCATTATGATTAAATTAAATGGATCCCCCCCCCCCAAAAAACACCTTAAGTCCAAACAAAATGACCAACAGGAGAAAGTCTCCGTGATATGAAATCAGCTCGTACCTCCCTGAGTGCCACGTATCAGAATCGTCAAGGAAAACAACAATGACAGATATAGCACACCGGGGCCACTGTGACAGTTTCTCAACTAACTCTCTTTCCCTAAATATGCTATTCTCCACATGACTGCTCTGTCTCCAAGTTTAACAATGGGCCTCGCTATTTTCACAGCTCCTCCCCAATCTGGAAAAGGCGAACGTAGGAAAGGTGTGTGTGTGTTGGGGGGGGTTATGTACATTCATTGTCAATGGCATCCTACTCCTTTCCTTTTTCTCATACAAGAATGTTAACAAGGGCCAAGCGAAGCAGAGTGGGAAAAGCACTGAAGAAAGAACTCTTCTTACCAATATTCTTTCAGACATACCACACTTACTGAAATGGACTGAAACTGCCCCAGCAGATTATGATGGTCGCACTTTTTCATACTAGTTCTGTTAATTCAAAAACGTTATTTTAGCTTTCCACCCGAGGATAAAAAGGGTTTGAGGATAAGCTCTGCAGTGTATCTGTGACTCAAAAGACATTAGGCCTACATAGAGACCCTTCTCTCAAAGCTGCTGGACTCCTTGAGGTCACTGACAAACAGGTAATGAGTCCTGATCCAAAGAGCAAAACCAGGAGATGTCTCAGAAGCCTAGGTTCTGACACTCCTGCTTTAAATTATTTCTACAACTTGAATTACCTTAGCAGAAATAAATGTATTAACTTCTAAGGGCAAAAATTAGAGTTTAACTTTCCAGGTAAGTCCCAGGTAAACACGAACATGATTTACATAACAATGTCTTGAATTTAAATTTGTGGTGTGAAAAATCGAATGTAAAAGGAGGGGAGGGTACAAATAATTCAGTTTAAAACATTTTCTATAGAAAACTGTCTGTAAGGTATCTACCAAATTCCTAAAAGTGGAAGAACATGAGGGAAGAGTTACAAGGAAAGAAATGTACTTTTCACAGTAGGTGTTTTCTACATTGTTTGAATTTTGTTTAAACATGTATTACTTCACTAATTTTTTTTTAATAAAAAAACTGCTGTGCCCACAAATTGTCTTAGGGCATCTAGAGAAAGGTCTTAGCTGTGCAAGCACACACTAAATCTAAGTCCTTACACGTCTTTTCTAGCATTGCCTGTATTGAACTGCTTCTCTAACTCAGTCCATACAGTCTACAAGGGATTCAAAGTGCATCAAAAATAACCCAAACCTCAGAACAAATTGCTCTTAATCAGCATGTAAAGCATAGTTCATGTTTCACGGTGTATAACAAAAAAAAGGGCTGGGAGGTACCATAAATAACTAGAGACAACTCTGACATTTCATATACTGGTTTTGTTTTAATTCCCAATAAGTAAAGTTATCTTCCATTTAATATTCTGACATCAGCATTTGTTCCTCCTCTAACATGTTTCCAATTAATGAAAGCATATCCAACTCCAAACATTCTTCTGATGTAAAGTTAGCTTCCTGAACTGTTCTGAGTCACCAATATGTCTTCAAACACTTGAAAACACCACTGAGGTTCATCTAAACAAACGAGCAGTTTTCATAAAGTAAGGAATAGAAAATAATAAAGGTCACATAAAACCAAACTATCATTTCCTTCATTCAAATAATAATTCTTCCTAAGGAAATAGTGGAATAAGATTTTAAAACTAAATGAGAATTTCATTTTCCAAAAAAAAAAAAAAAAATCACTGAGACCCTTCCAAAGCAGCAATCTTATCATCATCTTATTCCCCATACTTTTTTAAAAGTAGCTCTTAAAAAGATATTAAATAAATTTAAAGATCTAATGTCTACTTCGTCATTTAACCTAAGAAATCTAGAAATAACATGAAAAACATTTTTGAATGCAAGATAAGTTGTTGAACTGCCTAATATTTAAGAAAAAAGGTGATGCAGTGATTTCAATCTTTTTTTCTAAACAGGAAAAAAATTTTGCTAGAAATGTAGGTCAAAACAAAGAAAAAAACCAAATGATTTTTATTCACTTATCAGCTTAAGCATGAGTAACTTTTGTTTCTTTGTTCCTTATTACATCAAAAAGTCTCAAACACTTTATCAAGCTCTGAGAACTCTTCAAAAGGGACCAAAATTCCACTTTAAATCTAAAAATATAAGGAACAGCAATTCACTTACCACCACCTGAGACATCTTCTGTAAATATATCCACTTACTTTTTAAAGCCCCAGAGTGAAAACACTGTAGCAATAACAGGTATGTAATAATCTGTAGCACCTCCAGGATCGGTACAAAGCGCACAAGAAAGCTGCTTCAAAGCTTGAAGAGCAGCACCCCCCACCACAAAACCATCCTGCTAACACTCGTCACGTTCGACTAATAAAAATATTTCTTTTAACCTCTTTCGGTTATCTTCTTGCACTGATACTTCTCTGCTTTCTCCATAACCCCCAGGCTTCAATACTTCTAAAACTATCAAATGTGCCTTCAGTAGTAATGCTCCTCCCATCCTCCTCCCCAGCTTCCTCTGACACGCTCAGGTGGATCAGACTATGCCCCTATCACATACGACACGCGTCAGTGAACAGAGGCTGCTAACAGTTATTAAATGCCTACAGCTACTCAACTGCACAGTGAGCTACCCTCATGCTTATTTTAATCTTCAGAAGGGATAACTTAAAATAAAGGATATCAACTATGCTTATCAATCTTTCACTAAATGCTAATCTAATCTTTTGTTAAAGGTAATTAACATTACATTTTTCCAAGCACTGGCTTTATAATCACAGCTTAAGGAAAAACAGCTATTCCTACACCACTTCTAACAGGAGAAACTTCTATAGCGTGAGTTTTTAGACTGTTAAAATGTGCACTGCAATCTCTACTAAAATGCATCACCATCTAGATTGCCTTGTGGAAAGAGGGGATTATTTTTCCCTAAGAAAAAGTACTGAATACTCTACTCTTTCCTCATGGATTTGTAATGTTAAAGAATTAAGCCAAAATTGAAAAGAAATATGTTAGTTTATCAGATTTTTCTACAATCTCAACTTTAATGTTTTGGACTAAAGTAGAGAGTCAAGTGTCTGATTTGTTAGTGTAAACTTTGAGATTCAGTATCAGTGTCTTAGCTGATATAAAGAAAGCAAGATTGATGAAACTCTTAGACTGAAAATCAAAACATCAAAACCAATGAAAACACAGAAGAGTATCTTTAAACATTCTCTACTCCCAAGCTGTACTTAGACAAGTCGCAGAAAGTACTGATGAAAGATAAAGGACATCTAAGCAGAAGAAAGACAAAGGACAAAGAGCAAAACTCTGTAAATTACCAAGAGCTACCCAAAGGACGGGTAGACAGGTGGTCAAATACACACACACATGTACAAACACACGTACACCCACCATTTTATTATCCACCAGGACGCCAAGCAACCATGGCATTCATTACAGCAGTACTTGGGTCTCTAGTTTTTTCAATTCTGCAGAGTAAAAATTAATCTACAGCTCTTTAGTTTTAAAAAAAATACTTTAATATATTTCTTTAAGGTTAAATCTTATGAAGCAACAGCTAGGAATTTAACTGAGAATGCTTACCTTAGCAAAATTATCAGGAAACATTCCTCTTCTGCCATTTAGTTCTCCTTCTAGCCATCCTTCCTCCTGCAGTTTTCTCACATTCCTGATGACTTCCCCAACTCGAATAGTTAACTCATCATCGTGCACAGCATCATAGTCATACTCCACAATATAGTCAACTAAAAAAGGAAAAAGAAACAAATATCTAAAACTTAATTCACAAAACAGTACTGACCATATTAATAAACTTAAAACTAAGGAAGCTGTTTAGCAACAATAATTAGTATTATAAAGACATCACCAAAGCTTACCTCAATTTTAAACATTTGGCTACATCAGCAAATTTCCTAATTGCCTGAGTATAATGCACAGTACCAGCTTTAAGCAGAGCCCTCAACACAACATATAATTCATATGATCGGTTATTCTGCCAGTCAGCTATACATTCTTTGTGACAAACTCTAAGGTGGTTCCCATGATTCCCATTTCTTGATATTCATGTCCTTGTCTAATTCTCTCTCTCAAGTGTAGGCATGGCCTATGCCTGACTTCTAACCAACAGAATATGACAAAGATGATGGATTGTATTGACTATGTAAGATTTTAATGTCCATCTTGCTAAGAAACTGTCACTTGCTGGCTTTGAAGTTGCAAGCTGCTTTGTTGTGAGCTGGCCTGTGGAGGGCCACACGCAAGCAACTGAGGAGGTCTCTGGCTGACAGCCAGGAAAAACTGAGGCTCACAGTCCGGCAGCCCACAGGGAACTGAATTATGCCAACACCCACGAGCGCTTGGAAGCAGATCTTACCCTAGTTGACAACCCCACCCTCATCAACACCTTCACTGCAGCCTTGCAGAGGACTCAGCCATGCCCAGAATGCTGCATCACAAAAACTGTGATATAATAAACATACCTTGTTTTAAGCTGCTAAGTTTGAAAACAGAAAATGAGTACATCCTGAAATGAAGACTGCTAAGTATCTATTCCACCTCCTTTAAGTCTAAGATTTTAGGTCACAGGACATCACACATGCACAACATGAACACTGTACAGGACTCAATGAAAGAAAAGCACTAGAGAGTTCCTAATCAAGATGGCAGACTAGCCACACCTCTATTCATCTTTTCTTCCTCCTGTATGAATGGTAAGAAAAAAATAGAACACACACACACACACACACACAACTACAACCCCAAAAAGAAATGGGACTGTGGGCAGACACTGTTGGCTGCCCGACCAACAGCCATTCCCTCACTAACTCCTCCTCCTTCCTCCTTTCTCACTGAACCTTGACTTTGTTCAGGTGTTTTGAGACTCTGTACTTTTACAAGTGAGTCTGCTCTCAGTCCCAGGGGGTTAATTCTTAATTATTCTAGACAAGTACTTCTCAAATACTAGTACAATCAAGGCATCCTGTTGACTTGCAGAAGTCGTCTTGTGACTTGGGGAATTTTGCTTAAATGCAGACTGATTGAGTAGGTCCCAGGATACATAAGCCTGCTGGTCAAAGGGGCAAAGGAATAAAAATAGTTGATTTATAGTTATTCCATTCACATTCTCTCACACACACACAAACTCAGACTGGCTTTCAAATACACATGTGATGGATGGATTCTGACTAATACGATGTACGCAGGGGTTCTGAGAAGATTTTATTTGACCTTATAAGAAAACACAAAAAAGGAACGTCCTTTTACAGACCTTGGATGCTCTTCACCAAGAATGTAATGGCCAAAACTGCTACAACTATTTGAGACAAGAAAAACAGCAGATATGATCAGGATAGAAAAGAAGATGAAAAGAGCCTGGATCTCACTAGATTAATCAAACTACGTTAACCAAGCCCAGAACTCCAATACCTTTGAGATTTCTTGTTATAGAAGTATTTTTTCCTAAACTTTAAAGTAAATTAAAGAGAGGATCTGTATTTTCAGCTGAAAGTATCCCAATCTGAGAAGTGAACTAGCAGGAAATTTTTAAAACTTATGAAAATGGACCCATGAACGATAAAGCCAGGAAGAGGAAGCCCAGAGAACTTAACGGAAACTATAACCGATATCAAACTGCTATGCAGAACCCCGGAAAAGGCTAGGAATTCAGAAAAGAAGGGCTTATGGGAAACGCAGAACTGAAAATAGGGAAATTAATCTCTCTGTGGAGGAGGTGACACCCATTATCAACTACAATAGCTCTCAGACAATAAGGCTATTAGGCTGGTATTTTTCCCCTAAGGTGAAAAACTAAAGGGTTAATCTCAAACACACACACACACACACACACACACACACACACAAGTTTGGGGAAACGAGTATAGCAACTATGGATGAGTGATGGTTTCTTAGAAAAATGACTACTGATTTCCAGAATTTAGAAGTCTCCGGAGCAATGGGCAGCATCCAACTGACTAATTCTAAAATAAAACTTCAGTCCTACCCACATAAACAGGGTTCCCAGTTGGCTTCTTATTCATGATTTATTCATAAATATGAACAGTAAGTAGACAATAGTTAATCATACAAGACCATGATAAATTGAAAAAATCCTCCTAGATGAAACATACACTTACCTCGCCCATTCCAGAACAATTCAGTCCTAAAGTCATTAGATGTAGAAAAGCACACGGGAGGGGAGGGGAGACCTAGGTGGGGAAGGAGCCCAGTGTGAGAAGACAGGGACCAGAAAGAGGAAAGCAGATATAGGTATCCAGAGCTGGGGTGGGGGTGGTAGTGAAGCTATGAGAGCCAGAGCAGGGTGAGAAGAGCATCACCTATGGAGGCTTCCTTAGGGCAGGTTATCAGAACCTAAGGCAAGGTGAGGGCAGCATCCCTGCAGAGGAGACATGATGCAGTGTGCCAGAGCCAGTCACAGCAAAGAGGGCACCCAAGCTGAGGGTAGTTTAGTGAGGATCATCAGAGGTCAAATGGTGTAGGAGATAGGGGCAGATTTCCACGTAGAGATGTCGGAGGGTGGAGGCAACTAAAAGCCCACAAGGAGAAGAGGGTGACCACACAAGGGTGCGGAGTGACAGCTGAGATGGAAGACCCATTACATTCATGGGGACTGATCAAATAAGTAAATATACTAAGGACAATGGAAGCCATGTTTCTCTACAAAAGGAAGGGAGTTACATAAAGGGAAAAGACTTCATTCAATCCTATGATGTTAAATGGGCATGAGAAGTATCATTATGATTTTCGATACAGAGACACACACAGACACACACACACAAGCTCTGTTCACTGAAAGGGCCTGAATCTGCAACACCCAACGGCAACGAGCAAACCTAACGCAGAGATCTTCTAAATACCACTTTCTAGTGAAAGGAAACAGGAATCCTCAGGAAGACAGGCGATTCCAGGACTAAGGCAGAACAAGTGCAAGATAAGGCCAGAACACGCACGGTGTTGTGCCAGAAACCAAGGAAGTTCTCGAAGAAAGATAAGGTGATGCCAAAGGACACAGAGAAGTGATATCAAAAAGGCTCCTACTGGCCAAATCAAGACAATAAATAATATCAAAATAAGTAAATAAAATAAATATCAAATAATGACAGTAACAGAATATACCCCATTGAATAATTAAGGAACCATGAGTCCATACATATGTAAGTTAATTTCTTAAATTTTACAGTTGAATTGTGATTAACCAGGAGAAATCCCGGTTTGTAGAAAATACTAAAATATTCAGGAGATTGGCATCAGTCAGGAAAAAATTCTTTCTAGTAGACCTTAAACATTTCTACAACTTAAAAGTTTAAAAATTAAAAAAGATTTAAATACGTACAAATTTTTATTCTCAAGAGATGTAATAAAGTTCATAAAATGAGAACAGAATGCTATGAAAGAAGGAGTAAGAAAATAAAAAGCATTTGGAAATT